GGCGACTCCAAAAAAGATAAAATTCACTTTAAGTCGAAATATATTGCATTGTACTTACCCTAGATTAATTAAAACAGAATTGGAACCAATTATTTGGGGTATGATGAAATTATGATAGGTATAATAATAACCTATTTAGTTCTTAATATTTTTATATTTTATCAAACTGATCATAATATAATATAAATCAATAAATTTAAGGGTAAAGTACATAAATAGTCCCCCAATTATAGGGCATTGCTTTGTTAAGTTCTTCAACTATTAAAAGTTAAAAAATGGTCTTATGACTATAGGGTGTTGTTTTATTGAGTCCCTCAACTATTAAAAGTTATAAAATTATCCTATGACTATAGAGATCAAATTTTATCATATCTCAATTAGTAGGTTAATGTGCAACTCAAATTGCAGTCTTTTTTAATGAAAAATGATGAGTTTGGAACATATGAATAGTCGAGTAAAAATTTTATAACTCTTAATAGTTGCGGGACTCAACAAAGTGCCACACCTCTAAATTTGGGATTGAATTTAAAGGTGTTTGAATGTTTAGTGTCTTTTTGTGAGCTCTAAATAATGTAAGGACCTGTAGGGTAATTTACCCAATTTTAGGGTATTTAGTTACCCATTTTTTTTCCATTTCCCCTTTTATTTCCTATTTTAAAAACCTATCGTCGGTTTTCTCAATCTCTCCGCCCGCTTTTATTTTGTTTCTTCATTTCATCGTAATTTAAACTGTCGTGGGAGTGATTATACGATTCAAGCATGAACTGATCTAGTTAAACCGGTTTGGATTGGCCTGATCGAACTGACCCTAAACCCATTGATCCATCCATTAATCGACCCGTTGACTCGAGCCATTGAACGTTGACTGTTGACTTTGATTTTGATCCGTTGACCTTTTTTGAAGACCTATATTCTGACATTTTTTTTTATGTTCTAAGTCTTTTTTCGCAGTCCGTTTGCCAAATTATGACCCCGAAAGTCCTATTTTTGCATATTTCAGTACTTTACAGTATAATCATGTTAAGTAAATTTTGAAATTTATGGACTTATTCTATGAGATTATATTCTGAAGGTGATCACATATCTCTGTACTGTTCCCTAGTAACTCTAAAGCGCCTTTGTTCAGCTCAGCTTGACTCCACACATTTGATTCGAGATACGCGTTTCCATTATGCATGACCTAGTACTATTGTTCGTGGGAATGTAAAGCTTAGTTGGTATATGTTAACTCGTATAGGTGTGTCCCTTTGATTTGTTTGTTACCTTTAATATTGTTGTTATTATGTTGAATAATATTATCTGTATGCATGTACATATTCTAGTTACATGTATTTGAGTTATGATTGATTTTTATTACTGTTGCATCATTTTAAATCTATGCATTGATGTATTCCTGTTTCTGCATGGGATCCTCTACAGAGGGCATAATCTCCATCTTGATTCTGCATGAGATTATATCATTGTCTTGCTTTTGCATAGGATTATATCTTCGTCTTGATTTTGCATGAGATTATATCTCGTCCTGATTTTGCATGAGACTGTAACCCCGTCCTGATTTTGCATGGGATCCTCTATGGAGGGCAACATCTTTTAAGGGTAATGTTTTTTTATTTCTGATGAGTTCCTCCTTGGAGGTTAACTTGGGCTAATCTTTTAAGGGTAACGCCCTCATCCTGATTTTTGTTTTCTGCTTTGGGTCCATTTTGGAGGTCTCGGGTTCCTTTCAGCAGGTAATGTTTTTCGTTATGTTCATCTATGACAAGAGGTAAGGTTGTGAGGAACTGTGTTTGATTTTTTTGCAATAAATATCTGATTTTATTGTTACTTGATTATTTTATTATTTTTATATCATACATGAAATATATGAATTGTTATTTGTATTTAGAGGGTACACTAAGCTTGTAGCTCACTTTGTTTCTATTTCTATTTCTATTTTCAAATTATCCAGATGTACAATAGGTTTGGCTATCGGAAGAGGAATCTCGGTTTCATACCGTGTGAAGCTAAAATTTTGCTTTCAACCTCTTTAAATTGTGTCATGGGTTTATTCTTGATTTTATTACTGGTAAATATTTTCTTTTAAAATAAATGATTTGTTAAACAAATTTACATCTATAATCTATTTCTAAGGTCAATGTGACTATTATGATTCAGTTGTAACTCTTAGATTGGGTCTAGGGGTTACACAAAGTAACACCCTATAAACGGAGGACTACTTTGTAACTTTTAATAGTCGATGACTCAATAAAATTGCGCCAGTGATCATTTGTATAGTTTACCCTAAATTTAATATGTTATATTTTAAAGTAATTCTTACTTTTGCTTATATCCGAGTCAGATGGTTCAATGTTTTATGATGATAGTTTGAAAAATGATCAAAGTTTATCCAGTCAAGTTGAAGAAAATGGAGACGAAGGTATGAAAGAAGTTGGGGTCGAAATGGAGGTCAATTGGGTTTGAATGTGAATGTTTCTTTAAAACCTGAAATTGAAATCATGGTTTTTGGTTTATTCAGGGTGAATTCTTATCCCGAATATCATTAACTCAACATTAAGCGTTTTTACATTAACTGATAAAAATTTATATTTTTATGTCGGCCCCAATTGAAAATTCTTAATTTCGTCCCTCGTACCGATCTTTAGAATTATTTATTCATAAATTTGAGTGGTGGAAAAAAGTGGACATAACTTGTTTGAATTAGCTTTGTGTGGAAGAAAAGTCGAAATTACTTGTTGGAATTAGCTTCAGTTGAAAAAAGGTGGATTTCCAATATATATATATATATATATATATAGCACACGGGTTCAAAACTAATGAAGACAGAGCTTTAATCTGTATAAACATGGAGTTGTTAACAAGTTCTGTTCTCTGTATACTGTTTACATGGCTCGTGCTTCAAGCTTTCAACTCAATCAGAAATGGAAGAAAATCAATTGATCAAAGCAAGCTCCCACCTGGTCCAAGGCGGCTGCCAATCTTCGGCAATCTCTTCGATCTCGGCGATAAACCCCACAGGTCCTTGGCTAAGCTCGCACAGGCTTATGGCCCCGTTATGAGTCTCAAACTCGGCACCTTATTCACCGTCGTCGTTTCGTCCGAAGCAACGGCGAAAGAGATCCTTCAAGTACAGGACCTCGCTTTCTCGAACCGAACCGTTATCGATTCCGTTCGAGCCTGCAACCATTACGAAGTCGGGCTGCCGTGGCTGCCAATTTCGCCACTTTGGAGAACACTTCGCAAAGTGTGTAACGCCCATGTTTTCAACACCATGAAACTCGATGCCAACGAACACCTTCGACGGGACAAGATCCGACAACTGATTGCCAATGTTGGCAAGAGTTGTGCTAGAGGTGAAGCCATTAACATAGGCCAAGCTGCTTTTGATACCTCCATTAATTTGTTGTCCAACACTGTTTTCTCGATGGATTTGGTTGATCCGAATTCATCTGTTTCTCGAGAATTCAAGAGAACGGTTAATGAGATGATGGACGAGGCAGGGAAGCCTAATGTGGCTGATTATTTCCCTTTGCTTAGAAAGATTGATCCCCAAGGTGTGCGGCGCCGGATGACCGTTCATTACGAGAATCTGCTTAATCTGTTCGGTAATCTGTTCGATGAAAGGTCGCAATCAAGAAAATCTCTTGATTATATTGCGTCCAATGATGCTTTGGATACTCTTCTTGATGTTATTGAAGGCGGCATCGAGGACCTTAACAAAACTCACATCACACATTTGCTTTTGGTATGTTGTAGGTTTTTCTTGCATTGTTGGGTTTAAGGATAATTTAATATCAACGTTTTATTTTTTATTTTTTTGTGAAAATAGCTTATGTTGGATAGAAACCGTTAATTGATTATCGTTCAATTTATGTTATTGATGTGATATTTTCATATGTATTTAAGTGTTGACGTGTAATATATCACATCGTTATCTTGAATGACATGACATGTGATATGTTAATAATTCAACATATGTGAAAATATCATGTTAACAAGTTGCTTTGACCGCTAGTCAACTAATGGTTTCCATTCAGTAGGGGTCATCTTAACTAAAAATTAAATTTTGAGGATTAAAGTGATCTAAAATGAATAAGAGTCAAAATGATAATTTGAACAAACATTAGAGACTACTTTTAACATTATGTATTTTTTCTTACATGACACACTCTATTGTTATGAATGTTAGATGTTCGGTTTAACCATGTCAAATTGATAGGTCTTATTCGTCGCCGGGACCGATACAACATCGAGCACGTTAGAATGGGCAATGGCGGAGCTATTTCGGAACCCGCAAGTTTTACTTAAAGCCAAGGAAGAACTAGAGGAAATAATCGGCAAAGGAAAACCACTCGAGGAATCCGACATAAATCGTTTACCATATTTGCAAGCGATTGTCAAAGAAACCTTCCGGATGCACCCGGTTGTCCCACTGTTACTCCCTCGGAGAGCAGGTCCGATGCCGACCTTTTCGGTTTCAAAGTTCCAAAGGGTTCGCAAGTGTTGGTTAACGCATGGGCCATTGGTAGAGATCCGAGCATTTGGGAAAACCCGAACAGCTTCATGCCGGAGAGATTCTTGGGGTCCGAAATCGATGTCAAAGGTAGACATTTCGGGCTCATTCCATTCGGAGCTGGACGACGAGTGTGTCCGGGATTGCCGTTAGCAAATCGAATGTTGCACTTGATGGTAGGATCTCTCATAAATTGTTTTGATTGGAAACTTGAGGGTGGGATCTCACCAAATGAGTTGAACATGGAAGAGAAGTTGGCGATCACACTTCAGATGGCTGAACCTTTGCGAGCAATCCCTGTTCTTGTTTGAGTAGTGTGTTTAAAACTCGAAATCAAATGTTCTTTGATTTGAAATGAAATTGCTTATTTAGGAAAATGTTGTCCATTTTTAGACTAATCACAATAAACTTATATTTTCAAGCATTGTTACACCATTTTCTCTCTCTTCAATTCAAACCCTCTTTGCAAATATTATAGCTTCAAAATTACACCATTTTCTAGCTAGCGAACCTAAACCTTTAGCCCTTCAAATGGGCTCTGATCTCATTTTTCTCGCACTGATAATACTTTCACGGCCTTCATTTCGTTCTATCGAAGCCCAAGGGATCAAATCGGCTCGTCTCCTTGACCTTCTCATTAGGGACTACACGGTTAAGTCCTTTGACAGGCATTGGAAGACAGGTACTTCTTATACTGTACATCCACCTGCAAACTTATCCGGTATCGAAGTTGATACTGTGAGGTTTCGATGTGGGAGTGTCCGACGATACGGTGCGAAAGTTAAGGAATTTGGTTTGGGAATTGGTGTGATTGTTCATCCTTGTGCTGAGAGGGTCATAGTGGTGAGACAAAACTTGGGTCTCAATTGGTCACCTATATATTACGCCAACTATGATTTATCAGGTTACCAGCTTGTTTCACCTGTGTTGGGACTTTTAGCTTATAATGCAGGCAGTGATGTGAGTTTCGGTAGCCCTTTCCAGCTCGGGATTCTCGCGAGTGAAAAGCCGATTAAGATCGATTTCGGCGACATTAAAATTGTTTCCGACGTGATCGGATCATCAACGAGGCCACTGTGTGCTAGTTTCGAAGGAGATGGCAAGGTTACATTGAAAATCCAAGTGTCACCCGATGTTTGTTTGGCGGCAAGGGATGGACATTTTGGTTTGGTCATCGAGTCGCCGCCCTTGATGCCGGTAAGGAAGAAGATCAGCAGATGGAAATTGGTGGTCAGAAGCTCGATAGGAGCTGCATTGGGTGCTTTCCTCTTGGGATTGCTTTTGGTGACAATGGTTATTAAGGTGAAGAAATCAAGAATGGAGGAGTTGGAGAGGAGAGCTTACGAAGAAGAAGCTCTTCCGGTTTCCATGGTTGGACATTTCAGAACTCCAACGGCTTCTGCTACTCGAACGACTCCGACGATCGAATATCTGTACATAAATCACCATTCCTGAAATCTAAGTTATGTGATTCTTATGTTTTCAATGTATGATCATTCTTTTCTGGACTTTTGACTCTTCATAAGTATATCTTATTGAACGTATATTTGTATCCGATTTTCACACGGTTCCGGAACGTATAGAATTTGTCAGCTGCTAACGGAAATGTTGAATATCTTAGAACATGACAACCCGATTCCGGGATCTGTTTTTTTCTGAACAGTTTGTTCTATGTCGCAGAAGTTGTCGGAAGAAAACATGGTTTACAAAATTTGTTATCTCCTTTGTGGGTCAAACACAATCATCAGCCGAGAAGAGACTTCAAGTGTAAGTATTGTTTGGGTACAATCACCATGAATGAGAAAAGTAGAACTTATTATAAGAAAATTATCCCTATCCTTTAAGATTATAATAATCTTTTTTTATAAAATATTTAGAATATTTAAATCTCTACGTGAAGGATATTGATATTTTCACCTTTTATAAATATAATATGATGAGATATTGAATCCCTAAAATAACTTTGATTTAATTAAAATTTATAAATCATAAATAAATATTTCTTAATGCACAATAAAACAATATTTCTAAGGTTAGGTTTTAGAGTTTGAGTTGAGGATTTAAAGTTTAGGGCTTAAGTTTGAGTATAGGGTTAAGGTTTATGACTTAAGATTTAAAGTCTGGGTTTTAAGGTCGGGTTTTAGAGTTAGAAATTTTGGAGTTTAAGATTTTAGATTGAGATAAAAAGAGATTTATTTTACTGTGAATTAAAAGACATTTAATTGTGAGTTATAAATTTTAATTAAATTTAAGTCATTTATTTATATAAAACCTATTAGTTTTACATAGTGTGAGTGAATTTTGCTTATATATATATATATGGGTCATGATCCACTTATAATGTGTAAAACTCTTTTAGTTTTATAACATTTTAGGATCGTTGGATTGAAGGAAATCAAAAGCTGATATTAACTCCTTCTTTTTTTAGTAAATATTTTCTCATTTTCTACCGTTAATCTCAGCCTTTAATTTATTTCATCCAATAGTTAAAAAATTTTGAAAAATTAAAAGAATAGTACACAATGTAATTGATTATGCCCGTATATGTATGTATGTATTGCTTTATCCAATTGTTTCAAAGCAGCAGAAGAAATGTCCGGTGATGCTTCCGATGGTGACGTTTCACAGTCATCTGTAGTTGAATAGAAGGAAGAAGAAAAATAAGCATTCGTGAAAGAAACAAAGAATCAACGACTACAAAGAAAGCAAGAATAAATGTAAGATTGCATGCACAAGACCGAGGCAATTCAGTACAAGTTGCGGAATAGATGATTTAGAGTTCAGTCCAGAGTGATATTCCCCTCTATCATGGTTGGATAGTTGATCCCCTTTAGTATTGGGTTTGGGGGTGCAATAGTTGAAGCCATGTGGCGAAGACTGTATAGGTTCTTATAGCAGCTTCACTATGGTTGTGTTATATGGTGCTTATAATATATGTGCCATATTTGAAGGCTGCCTGATGACAAACACAAAAAAACATTTTGATAAGGAACCTATACAAGGGTGCAACTCTATTACCATGCATACTTCAACTTTGTTTGTCTGACGTTATTTGATTTGGACTTTAGATTCTCACAGTTATCAAGTTATCCTTGCAAAACAATGACAACTTCGCTGTAGAGGTCCAAACAAGAATTTACTCCACCAAAAGGTTAGTGCTCCCCTCATTCACTTCATTCATGCTAGTTAGGTTAACTGATTGCAAACTTCATGAACAACAATGTCAATCAATCAACTAGCTGTTTAAACATCTAATTTATTGTTGAGTCGATTACATGGTCATCGGTTGGTGATTTTGCAGGCTATTCTGCTTACAAGATGGTCTCGAAGAACATGAACTCAACGTTTTCTTTCTTAACAATCATTTCATCGGTTTGAATGACTTGAGTGAAACTTAACTGAGATTTACATGATGCAGGACTACAGTGTTGAAGGCTCAGCGCATACAGGAGCAGATGAATCCCTCCTTTTGGTTCTGTGTTTGTATTCAATTTGCGCATACAGTTTCTTCGTCTTCATCGTCAAGGCAAGAGAAAATCCAAAGAAAAGTGTATCATGATGTGAGTTTCAAGTTTACGCCATTTGGCAAGTGTTTCTTCTGTATAATAATGAATTTAAATGTTATTTCCACTACTGGCATAAGAAATGTGAATTTAGATAATAAAAATTCGGATGTTAAAATCCAATAATAATTATAATATCCTACTCTAATATATAATCTAAATCCCCATTATTCAAGTTCACAGAAAACACCTGAACATACAATCTGCCCCATCGAAAGAGGTGTATTACTCGATAAAATTCAAACAAGAAGGTTTTGTATACCGCATTGAATAGAGGATCAAAACATAAAACAAGTTTTTTTTCAATGAATAGGGGAACTACCATCTTCATGTATGAAGCAATGCTATTCCGTTATCCCGGGACCCGCATTCTCAACATCAACTTCTCCCATGCCTGTGTCTTCCTCTTCTTCGCTGTCTTCGTCTCCACTGACCTCTTCGTTATCGTTACGCAACTTAGCCATGTGCTCAGCGAGCAATTTATCGTCCCGTTCACTCACCTAAATCAATGCACCATTCAAGACACTCGGGACAAGGAATGTAGAACTGAGAGAAAGTACATTGGAAATTAAAGGATGGACACTCACCGCTCTAGGATGCTCCTTGACAACAAGTTTTCCCTTGTGATGCTCTATTGCTTCAGTGCAAGCTTTAATGGCTTTATTGAGGACAGCTATTCCTTGGTCCTGACCAATACAAATTTAAACAAAAATGAAAATGTTTAACAGACACGAAAATATGTTGGGGAAATATAAACATAATAATGTAAACAAGTGTCAATGATGATAACTTCAGCAGGGCAAAATTTTAGACAGTGGTCAACAAGATTAACACATTCATATAACCATAGCATGTTCATGCGAATGCTTCCCAAAGCAACTTCTGAGGCGTGTTAGACACATTAAGCTTACCTTGTCAAGAGTTTGAGTGGTAAGAACATAAAGTGGAGGAGCCACGAGCTTGATTTTAACAGGGCAGTCATCATTCCCAGCAGCCTCGGCTTTGCGCATGGCCTCCTGCAAATTTGACAACAAATATCTAGAAACCAACAACAGAGCAGAGGAGAGAGAGAGAGAGAGAGAGAGAGAGAGAGAGAGAGAGAGAGAGAATTTCAGAAAAAAAATACCTTAATGTGAAGAACGCCATCAAACTGGAAACATTTCATTTCAATATCAGCCCGAACCTTCAGAGGTTGAGGAGTCATTCTTCTCTTAATGTTTTTCACCAATGCATCTTTGACTTCCTCAGTCACAGCAGGAACCATTTCAGTCACCTAAAGAGAGATATCATTAGAGACTTAAATCGGCTGAACAAATAATGTTTTATGCATCTCACAAATTGAAATTTTACCTCCTGTCCGTCCGGGCCGGGTTTTTTTACTTCACACGTGAGGGTGTTCAAGACAGTATCAGGATCAGTCACAATGATTTTAAAAGCCTGAAAAGCATTTTTTTTAAAAAGAAAAAAATTAAGACTTTGATAAGAGATGAAACGAAACTTGAAAAGAAGGCAGTTCCACACCTCAAAAGCATGACCATATTTCCGGTATAGAGGCCACCCAATTTTAACATACAATTCCTGTCACACATAATAAGTGTTAGCGAGTTGCAAGTTGATGACAAAATCCTTCTAATACTGGCTATTTTTAGATAACTTGAATGAAACATACAGATAGTTGCTTCTCATTTAACTCACCTCACAAGCTTTGAAATCTTCAGCTTGATCATTGAATTCTTATTTCTAGATGATTAAAACAAACATATACTCATTGCACTCACCTCACAAGCATTGAAACCTTCACTTTAATCCTTGAATTCTCAACTTCTTTTCTTAATTGGAAAAAAAAAGTAACAGGTTTCATATACATCATAACCCAAGTTGCTGGCTTTTCAATATTTCCCTCAGAAACTAAGGTAAAAATCTATCTGAAAGTCACCAAACTACCGCATTTTAAACTAAAACTACAATAAGGAAATCATCATTTCATTTTTGGTTGTTCCGTTTCGGCTATAAAAACACACACAATTATCCATTTAAGTTAACAAGTATCCCAGTATAATCACTTTGGCCGAATCATATCAGCGGCAGATCCATGCATTTCCTAGGGATGACATGTGTCCACTCTTAAATCCGAATTTTATTAGGTTAATATATGAACACCCTTCCTCAAAAATATTTTTGAATAGACACTTAATCCGATGAACCAAATTTTCGAACAAAATACCCAAAGAAATAGTGACCAATTCCCTTCAATCAACCAAAAATAGAAGAACAACAAATATATTTCCAATTCATTACCGATAAACCATAGCTAAACTCTAGAAATTCTTCATACCCAAATTATTAATTTTAAGTTCCATAACATAGCAATCAAATTATCGCCCCAGTTTCAATAATAGAAATCAAAAGGAATAAAGGGGGGGGGGGAACAAAAAATTACCTCCAAATCAATATCCAAAGTCTCGGCGACATGTCGCATGATAGAGTGAACAAGTTTACTCTTATTGTACCTTTCTTCACAAGCCTGAATATCCTCCTCGCTAACTCTCCTCTTACTCAAATCGATGTAACCCTTTTCCTTATCGACACGGAGAACCATTACCGGCTCGGTTCGGCCGACCCTGATTAGACTGCTGACACTACGAATCCGACGGCGGGAAAGCTCGGAGAACAAGATCATGCCTTCGATGTTGTTGTATTCAAGGAGCGAAACGTACGCGCCCATGTCGGCGATGTTCTTCACCTGTATCATCACCGCCATGTCCACCTCGGGATACTTTGCTTCGTACATACGACACTCGAGGTTCGGCATCCTCTCGTATTCTGGCTTGGATCTTTGAGTTTTTGGGATTTCGTGTTTGAAGATTAGGGTTTTAAGATGAGCTTCACGACTGATGCGTTTTCTATCAACACTAGAAATGAGATTCTCCTTTCTTATATTTAGGGTAAATTACATTTACGACCACTTAATTATTAATGAAATTTATTTTGATTAATGATCTTTTACTTTTATCAATTAAATCATTTAACTATTTAAACATTATCAATCAATCTTATTTATAACTCAAATTTTATTTAATTTTTTAAATCAACATATTCGAGTTATTCTGGTTTCTATTTAAATTTAATTTTGAATATTTAGAATGATACAGACTAATCGATTGTAATTTATAATTGATTTTAATTTAAACGACTTTCTGTAATCATGTATAATATAAATATATTTTTTCATTTATGATATAAATATATCATGCAGAGTTGAGAAAATCGACTTAAACTTAAAAATCAATTTACTAATAACTAAAAAAATTAAATTAATCGAATCTTATTTTATAACTTAAACTTTATTAAATTTTTAGTCAAATCAAATTAGATCAAGTAAAGTCAAAATTTTCAAAATTTTAAATTAAATCAAAATTTTTATCCCTAACTATTAGCATTTGATAAAAAAACAACGATTAATAAAATCAACGTAGTTATATATATAGGCGCAGGATAAGGTTTTCTCTGGGTGCATGATAGCAGGTTTTTTTGCTCATCGGAGTTTCTCATTTCTTTGCCGATTTTTTCGTTGTTTCCTTCTGGATTTCTTTCTTTTTCTTTGGGCTGTCTGTTGTGAACGAGTACTGATAATGGTGCGGGCTCGAGCCATTTGAACTGGAGGCAGCTCTTTGTTGGGCGTCTGGATCATTCGCTTCAGCTTTTCCTCCTTATCTGGAGGACGGTGCGATCACGATTAAGCCACTGATGGAGGTTTTTGATGTAACAATCAAGGTTTGGAATAAATCTTTGGGTGCTCGGTTTCTCGATAAGTATCCCAATTTCAATACTCTACAATTTTGATTAATTATATTTGGGGAAGTTTTAGGGAGATCGTGGTTAATACGGTGGGGGATGATTTGTTCATTTTTCAATTTCCAAATGTTGATGCGTGTGAATGGGTTTTAGAAAATGGTCCTTAGCATATTCATAATAAGCCGCTCATTTTACGTAAGCGGGCTCGTAATATGCAATCTTTGGAGCTTCATATGGATAGAGTTCCATTTTGGGTTTACTTAAGTCGTATCCCCTTGGAGTTGTTTACAAGGGTGGGGTTGAGCTATGTGGCTAGTGCTCTGGGCATCCCCTATACTTGGATAAACTTACGGCTCATAGGTTTAGGCTTGCTTATACAAAAGTTCGTGTGAAAGTTGTTGTGGACTTTAGATTTCTCAAGTTTATTAATGTGCAGCTTTCAGATGGTTCTATGGCATCGATGGAGGTGACTGTTCCTTCGGTTCCTCCGAGATGGCTTCACTGTAAGGTTTTTGGGCATAATGAGAAGAGTTGTGTTTGAAAGAAACCTGGTCAGCGGTAGGTTTGGGTTCCCAAGGACCAGTTTGGGAAAGATTGTGTGGTGATTGAGCCGTCCTTTACTATTGTTGTTGAGTTTGGACAGGATTGTGTAATGGTTGAGGCGTCCTCTGTGGCTGTTGTAGAGGGCCCTGCTTAGGCTCTTTTGAAGGATGTTAAGGTGGAGGAAGATACCACAGGGGTTGCTAGAGAGCCTCAGGTTCCTAGTATTCTTGTTGTGGATCCAGGCCTGTTTGGCGGTGCTGATGTTGCTGAGATCGTCGATGATGTGGGCTCTAAGGTTGATTCTTCCCTGAAAGGCAAGCAAGTGTTGGTTGAGGAGCTTGTTTCTCCTCTTTCGGTTGGGGTTTTTAGACAGGCTCGAGAAGATGCTAAGGGTATTGTTGAGCTAATGCAAAGGTTGAAAAAAGGTAGGAAAAACACTCTTAAGGGCAGGAACAGAGGTATGGGTTCTTCATCTCTTAGTTTAGCATGCGGATGATATTTTGGAATACCAAGTGGTTGTAGAGGGATGGAATGATGTGTTTCCTTCCTTGAACACTTCACATTCCACATGGGTGTTTATACCTATCAACACCATTTTCATTTCAAAATAAAATTTTAGTATCAACTTTTATGAAATGATGATTTTTGAAATCGAATTTATTTAGAAAAGATTTGGAGTCACCATCGATCTTTGGGTTAGGTAGGTCGAATACCTAAACACTAAAAAGACGAAATGGGCATACGTGTTACCATAAATTCGTTTTTTAAGGGCTCTAGAGTTGGTTACGTGTGGGGAAAGATTAGTACCCCACAAGTCCAAAAATTGATACTTGATTGTTTATATGTTGTTATAGTGGTGAAATTTGTGGATTCGAGTCGTAATTTAAAATGTGATCCTTTTATTAAACATTGATCAATTTCGTTTTTATCAAAGTATACTCGGTTATTTTCAAGTTCGTTTTCGTTCGAATATCGTATTGAATCGTACTACCTCGATAGGTTGCAATTTTTATGCCCATTCTACGATTGATGTTCTTAAAAATTTACACGATTGCAAAATATACTTGGTGATGATTATTATCGAATTTTAAAGGCATTTTACCGTTCTAAGCAGCAACATGTATTATTATACCACTCACATAATAATATGAGGGCTAAAATATAAAAGTATTAAAGTTAGAAAACATCTTGACATAGATTAATCCAATACGTGTGAATCAAAACTAAACAAGAACTAGGGAACTAAAGCTAAAAATTCATAATAACATAAAATGTAAGTACGAGAAGTGCAATAAAATGCTAAACATGTGGACTAAACTAAAGATGAAATAAAGCTAATAAATCACATGTAGGGCTAAAATGAAATTAAGCAGAATATAAATTTTAAATTAAAAATAAATAGAAAAGTAAATGCTAGAATTTAAAAGGACTGAAGTGTAAAAGCTAAAAAAGGGCAAAATAAATAAAACGTAAATAACAAGGAAATAAAGTCAAGAAAATAATATTTTAATTTTAACCTGGACCTTAATAAGGCAGGTCCTACCCGGGGTAGATCACTGCAAGGTCGTACATTAGTTCAAATGCGAAAAATAAAAGTTAGTTGATAGTAGTATAAAAAATAAAGTAAAATTAGTAGTTAGAGGTTAGTAATGTTAGAAATAAGAATAAAATAAAAGTTAGGAGTTAACGGTTAGTAGTGTTAGTATTTTGACTCGCATCGTAATAACGCGGGTCGTATCCCAGAGCAGGTCACAGCGAGGTCGTACAATGATTCGAATACAAGAAATAAAAAATTAATTTTTAGAAGTTAGAACTCAGACAGTCAACAATTAGAAAGGTCTGGATCATAATAATGCGGGTTATACCCCAGATTGTGTTAACACAAGATCGATTTGAGGTTACGTGCAATAATTAAATGATTAGTAATTAGAGGTTAAGGGTTAGTAAAGTTATTAGGCAAAATAATAAAAGGGTCTGGATCGTAATAATGCGGGTAATACCCCAGATCGGGTCACCGCAAGATCGAATTGAACATTAATAAAATCAAACTATCAATAAGTGACTAAAATAAAAAATGAGAAAAATAAGAACATCAAATTCGAAATATAAATAAAAAGGGAAAATGTGACCATTTTGTAAATAAGCGCTAAAACTAGAGGGATCTAAGCATGATTTTACCCTAAACTATTTCATCCTAACCACTAATAAAGTAAAAGTGGAAAATATCCAAGCGAGGACCTCATATTTTGCGAAATAAAAAAAAAATGCATGGGACAAGGGATAGAAACGTAAAAATACAGTAATTGTAGAGGGACCTAAAGAAGGTTTTACCTAAAACCATGATATATAAACCACTTTTTAGTCATTATGGGTAAAGCTAATGCTAAACCCACAAATCAGCCACCCACCATTGAGAGAGTTCTCTCAACTCTCTCATACCCTCCCTCGATTGAGAGCACCAAACCACATCGACGACCTTACGCCAGCGGCCAAACCTCGCTCTGACCACCATTCGTGATAGTCGAGAAACCCAAATAACCCCAAAAATAACTTTAAAAACTCCTAAATCCTTTGATTCTTCTCCCTAAGCCCAAATCCAAGGTCGAAATCACCTAAAAACACCACTTAACTACCCTAAAGCCTCCCTACTCCTCGATTATCTAAGCTAAGACGACGACATCTCCGACAATGAGACTTGACAACTAAGGTAATCTAATCCTTTCCTCTCTACTCCGATTTTTTGTTTCAGAAATACCATATCCATGCCATAAAATGATACTGGAAATCTGAAAAAAATGATACATTTGAAATCTTTTTTTTTTGTATTGATGGTTTATGTCAAAAAATGAAAAGGATCTTCTCTCGAAGAATGGGGACCTCTTATCTTTCTACATGTTGTTTGGGTTTTAAAGAAATCCATTTTGTTACAACAATGGAAATCTAAAATTTTTTGTGTGTTCTCTTGTGTCTTGGATGAAAATGGAAACGGTTAGTGGCACGACTCAAGACCAAGGTAATGACTTTGACGGGTGGCTCAATAAGACACGAGATAGAGGCGGCGACGGCGCCAGTTGACACTTGGATATGATATTAGGGGTTTCAAAACCCTAATTGGTGGTGAATCTAGGCCATTGGATCATATCTGATCGAACGACTCGTAATGTGGCAACTGTGAGCTTCATTAGAGCTAAGCATGAAAACCCTAATTTTATTTTAAATAGGTTGATGGGTTTTGTTACTTTCTGTTTGGGCTCGTATTTTGGGCATTTTTGTATTTAGTTCATTTAATAATAATAATAATAATAATAATAATAATAATAATAATAATAATAATAATAATAATAATAATAATAATAATAATATAATGATAAGATGAAATTAGGGTAGACAACTACCTCTAATACCCTAGATCAATATGACACACAATCGATCAATATAGGATGATGCCACACGGAACCACCGGAGTGGCTGACCAACACCTTACTCTTTTTTTGTACTATAAAACGACCATTTCCACAAATAAAACATCCATGAAATAATATAATTTAAAAATTTATACT